CCACATCTCCATGGCTCTGGACACCTCCAGGGACAGTCACTGCCCCACCTCCCTGTGCAGCTGAGCAGTGCCTCACTGCTCTTTCTGAGAAGAAATGTTTCCTAATATCCAAACTGATCCAACCTGGTACAACTCGAGGCTGTTCCCTCTCATCTCATTGCTGTTAACCTGGGAGCAGAAGCCAACCCCCCCCTCACCACCGCCTCCTCTCAGTGAGTTGCAGAGCCATGAGGTCTCCCCTGAGCCTCTTCTTCTCCAGACCGACCCATCTTAGTTCCCTCAGCTGCTCCCCATCGCACTTTGTGCCCCAGACTCCTCACAGCTTCATTCTTTGGATACTGAGCGTGCCGAGCTGGGGCTGGTGAGGATTGGAGCACTCGGTACAACAGCTGGATTGAGAGATACCAACAGCACTTCCAAAGACATCCCCTACTGCTTCTGGAGTGGGAATTCTCTTACAATGAAGATATTCCATATAGCTCTACCCTATGCCTTGTGTGTCCCTCTCTGTCCATAAATGCCTTTGCAGCAGGTGAACCTCTGGCCCTGCTCCTGTCCCTGTCTATCCAATGAAGAATTCCATGGGATGTTGTCCTGACAGACCACCACTCAACCACAAAGACAGCATTGAGAACATCAACCGTCAGTCCTCACCAGAGGTGAGAACACAGCTGAGGAGAAGGGACTGTCTAATGTTAGCATTAGATCTTGCTAACACTGTGAGTCCCATCTGTTTCCTTTCTGGCCAGAAGGAAAACAATGACACCAAGAAGGACCAAACACTTGAAAACTCAACTTTTCAGTGTCTTTCCCTCCCAACCATTGCTGCATAAGTCAGTAGCCCCATAACCTGCCATTACAAAGGGTCCCTGCAGCAGCCTTTCCCCAGCAAAGCCACAGCTCCTCTCACTGCAAAATCTCCTGGGGTGTCCTGAACCAAGGCCAGGCTGGACGTGCAGCCCTGGCACAATCTGGCAGTGAGTAATCCCTGAACAGCACTGGTTAACATGCTGCTGTGCTGGGAGCAGTCCTACCTGCCCAGACTCTGACTGTTCCCTCTTGACCTGGTGCATGCAGTCACCTCGCTGGCACTTACAGCTCTTTGCCACATTCCTCTCGTGCCGGGATCATTTGGGGAGCAAACCACCCTTGGGCAACAGAGAAAGTCAGAGCAGTGTGATTTATAGCTGTTCCAAACGCAGCAGATTTGAGCCTTTTCATGAAGAGATTTAACCTTTGTTTTTAAACCTCAACTTTGAACCAGAGCTGAACTTCTGAAACCCACCAGACTAAAACCATTTAGTCATAATGACTGAAATCACTGTGAAAACAGCCTCTCCTTTGTGAATGTTTGCTTATGGCAATGGAGATCCAGGCCATCCCTGCCCTGGGGAGGGTGCAGGGGGTTCTGAGTTCTCATGTCAGGGCTGAGTTTTTCTCAGCACCCTACGTGGTGGTTGTTCTGGCCTCACCCTTCCAGCAGCTCCCTTCACAAATGCTGTATTACTGCCTGCACCAAAAGCAAGACCTCTCCCTTAACAGCAGAAAGGGCAAAATCAAACACAGCAGCTGGCAGCAGAGGGCCAGGACACCCCTCCCACCCGTGCTGTTTGCCCAGCAGCCTGGTCACCAGCACCCTTTGTGAGCAGGGACCCACACTTACAGTGTGCAGCATCCTTCTCCAACCCTGCTGACACCACTCCTTTTCCCAAGCCACAACACACAAGGGGCTGTACTGAGTTTGTGCTGTGAGAAGCTGGGGCAGACTGAATGCCTGCAGCTGCTGATAGCTGCTCTCCTAAACCTGCTCAGAGCTGCAAGCACGCTATTACCTCTGCCTGAGCCCTGCAGCTGAGCAGCTGTGCTAACAGGCTGTACTCAGGCACCTGTAATGATTCTGCTTAACTCCTCCCTGCTCTGCTCCTGGCTTCCAGCCTATCTGGGCACTTAGCAGGGAGGTTGCAGCTCCTAAGGAAGCAGCCTGGATTTAATCTTTCCTACCCAAAAGCAAATCTAGCAGGATGGCTGTCTGGGAGCTGCCTGGAGCCAACTGCCCAGAGCAACCATGCTGTCTGCAGGGAGAGGGCAGGGAAATGGTGCCTTGGACTGGGAAGGCAGTGGTGGCAATGTTCAGGCTGGTCAAACTGGGGCTGCTGGAGAGAATTTCCTATCCATGGCAGTGGAGCAAGGACTGAGGGACACACTGTGTTTACGTTATGCTGTTCTCTCTAATCTCTAGCAAATATACAGCAGAAATATATAGACCCCAAAAGACAGCATGGGAAACTAGGAAGCATCCCTGTGCTCTCTCTGGTCTCCTAGGGATTGAAATTGCTTGAGACATGCCAGAAAAACATGTCCCTTCATCCTGGAGCCATCACAGCACTGCTGAAGAACTCGACGCATGTCACAGCTGAGAGCACCCAGGCAGTAAAGAAAGACCAGTGCTTTCAAATGAGGATCCTGCAGGCCTGGCCTACAGATGGCTGAGACAGGGCTGACATCAGCTCCCCAAGGAAGAAGCCTTTGGCTACAGCACAATGTCAGTGCTGGGGGAGGATGCTGGGATGCAGAGAGGGGCAGCCCGCAGCCTTGGGAGCGCAGCGCTGCCTCCTCCTGGGGCTCTCCTGCCGCAGGGCCTCCACCCAGCAGCTCGGCAGCCCCACTGCACATCTCTACATCTCACATCTGTCTGTCTTCAGCAGGAGCTGAACCGGGTCTACAAAATGCCCTTCTGTCCAGCAACTGCCTCTTAGAGTGAGGCCTTGGCATGCAGATCACAAAGCATCAGCGGTCATGTATGGGACGTGGATGTCACCCAGGTGGAAGAGACCTCGACGGCACCATTCCCTGCTTCCCAGGGACACACATCCCAGCTTGAGGTGAAGTTAGCTTTGCAATGAGAAGCACTAAAGGCCCCTTCCTGCGGCCATTGGTTGCCCCTGCCCCAGGAGCGCTGCCCCTCCGGCAGGGCTGGGGCCACTGACCATTTCTCTGCTGGTTATTAGATTGTTCACGGCTCTCAGGTTTGTTTGAATAAGCTCTTTTGTCCTAATAGAGCTTTCCCACGTCTCTTCATTCGCTCAGCAGTCGCGTGTCCCGAGTCAAAGAGGAGCTGTGGCCACGGATTCCTAAAGGAACTTTTTTCAGAGCAAGACATCTGCGTTGGAGGGAATCTGCAAACATCTGCCACGCTTTCCCCATTTCCAAGGGCTTTTCTTTCCATCTTAAAAACTGCAGGAACAGATGTTAAAAGTTGTTTTCTTTCTACAGGGTGTGAAATGCAGACAAATAGCAAAAAAGAAAACTCCGAGCGGCACTGACCCTTTTCCTTCTGCTTTTTGTGGAAAGCCCAGGAAAAAGAGAGGCTTTGTTTGCTATGGAGAATCCCCTTTCAGCGAAACCTGGCAGTGCGAAATGCAAAAGGGAAGCGGGAATTTGCAAAAAGCTCTCCCTTTAATGCGCCGTGCTCATTTGCATGTGCCTGTTTGGGCCATACAATCCCCAGCACAGATGTCAGGCTTCCCCTGAAAGGCAGCACGGCCCTCCTGCCCGCACACCCCCTCGCTTGGAGCATAAAGGGTTCTGCCCTGAATGAGAGGTGTAAAATAACTGTTTACAGCAAAAGCTGCTCTTCTTTTTCACGGAAATGCTGTCTTACAAATGAACCTTGAAATGAACTCATTGCCAGCAGAAGCCAGTGGGGCTCCGTGAGCAGGGGGCTTCCCAGAGCCCTGAACCTGCTGCCCAAGGGAGGAACGGGCATGGGCTGGGGTTGGGGCTGGGGTTGAGCACCTCTTCTGGTGTGTTTCAGAGCCTTATATTGCATTCTCAGACACCTCTGCAATGCCCAGCTGAGCCAGGAGCTGATATGGCCTTGGGCAACCATGGGATGGTCGCTGAGCCAGGAGCCTCTTCTGTGCAAGGTGCTGCTGGGGGGGGGTGTGCTTCAGGAGCAGGGGAGGTGACTTCTCTTCTTCTCCACCAGCAAAGCAAAACCTGGCTAGAAGTCATGCAGCCACTTCTCCTGATTGACTGGAAAAAACCTGCAAAAAACAAAAGTATCTATCAAAATTCTGGGGTTTGGCAGATGTGAAGAGCTCTCACACCAGTGGAACATCTTTCCATTTTTTGTGCGGGGGACAGACCTGATACAAGCTGCCCATTCCCACTCCAGTGCTGCATCACAAAGGACAAGATACTATCTGTCCTCTCTCAAAGCAACAAACACCCATCTCAGCCTCTCCCTCATGCACCCCTGCCAAGTAGGGTGCTTATAAAACCAGGCAACTGCACCCAATACCTGCATTTGGCTGACAAACAACCCCTGCCTGCATGATAACATGTCTGGGGACACATTTTCTTTATAAGCCCAGACAGCATTGAGTGCAGACATGCTGGAAATGTTTGCATTTCCACACAAACAAGCATACACCCACACAGTGTTCAAGTGCAGGACGCAATGTCCTCGCTCCGTTCCTGGGGTACATCACCACCTACAGCTGAAGGGGTGGAGTAAGGGCTCTGCAGCTGCAGCGTTGTGCTTGGTGATGGGAAATTCCAAGAGTGGATCCTGAGGGCTTTTGGAGCTTCTAAACCAACACAGCTTCTTCCTGTCCATTTACATAAGGTGGCACATTTGACACCAACTTGAAGGGCTTCACCTGGGTGACTCTGTAGGACACTGCCGGATCCTGCCGTTACCAAAGCAGTTGTCAGAAAGCAAAAGCACAGCCATGAAAAATGCCTTCATGCTCCCCCTCAAAACCAGACAGAAGTAAGGAAGCATAAAAGCATGTTCCCATCCTGTGCCAAGCCTGCTGTAAAGGCCCCTCTGCTTCTGCACTAGCATTTCAGAGGACTGAACCAAGCAGAAAAACACCCCCAAAAAAACAGCCGAGGCAGCATGAAAGAAGGGGGGAAAGCAAAGAAGTAAAAATCCCACAGAATCAACAGGACTACGCTCACCTCAAGGTTGGTTTGCTTCTGCAGCTGTCTGCAAGTTTAATATCAAATAGCACGCAGCAACAACAACACTAGAAGAGCTCTGTATTCCCTGCACATAGCTGTGTGCAACAGAGAATTCACATCCTCGGGAGGTCCGTGAAGTGCTCTCCCTGGAGGGTTTCTGTGATGGGAGCGAGGTTTCTATAGCTGCCTGCTGTCAACACTTTTTAATCGATCGCCATTATCCTGCAATAACAATTCCTGCAGGAACTGGTCAATCCAGTACTCTATTATCAAATTAAGAGGCTGCTTCAAGGACTGAAGATGCTCGAGGCTCAGGCTGGCAGGTAAAAAGCAGCACTGGCTCAGGGAGACGCAGGGGAGAAGAGACGCTGAGGGCATTTTCCCAGGTGTAACTCAACTGGGTCCCACCATTGTTTCCCTCCCTGGGAATCTGTGCAAATTGAGCAGGAGCCATGCAAGCTGCTCTGAGCACGCCCGTTTTGCTTCTCTTCTTCCTTAACAAAAGATCCCTACAAAGCAAGGCTTTGGAGGCCGGACATCTGTCGCCGTTTGGGGGGGCCGCCGCGGTCATTGAAAAGAAGCGGTGCCCTGTCAGTTTTGATTGATGGTCACAAACCTCTGGGCTCGACCCCTCGTGTGGGAAAAGAAGTCCCGCCAAGGCGAGCTCCCTTTCACATGCTAATTTTGGGTTATAAATACAGCGGAGGAGAGGAGGAGAGGCAAAGCGCCCGCCGGGACTGGCAGCACCCGCTGCCCGAGTGCCACCCGCCCCGTCCTGGCAGCGCCGGGCGGACAGGCTGGATTACAATGACGGCCGCAGCCATGGCCGGCGGTGCACACAAGCTGTCCAGCACCAAGGAGGAGAGGAAGGTAGGAGCCCGGCGCAGGGATGGGTGCTGCGGTTGCTTGTGGGAAAGAATGTTTGTTTTTTTTTTTTTTTTTTTCTATTATTATAAAGATGTTTTCTCTGAATTTGACCTGTGTAAGTTTGTTTTCTGCTTCCCTCCTCTGCCTTTGGTTTCTGGTGGGTAAATTCAGTAATGGAAGTAATAGGGGGTGGAAGTAAGAGAATTCAGAGCTAGCGTGACCCAAAGGACCGGCCCCTACCAGAGCTGGAGGCTCTCCATCCATACAGACCCTACTGAGCATCATGCCATCCCACACTGGTTGCACACTGGGATGTGGCTCCCAGCTCACGCCGACCCCAAGCTGCCCCCATGAAATCCACACAGTCCAGTTTCTTCCCTTCTCCACCAAAAATAAATCAATGCAATTCATCCTCCTCCTGTTTAGGAGGAAGTTTTTCACACAGAGGGTGGTGAAGCACTGGAACAGGTTGCCCAAGGAGGTTGTGGATGCCCCATCACTGGAGGCATTCAGGGCCAGGCTGGATCTGGCTCTGGGCAGCCTGGTCTGCTGGTTGGCAGCTCTACACATAGCAGGAGGGTTGAGACTAGATGATCATTGTGGTCCTTTTCAACCCAGGCCATTCTGTGATTCTCTGATTCTCTTCCCTGCAGTTAAGGAAACCCCTAATCGAACGGAAGCGCAGGGAAAGGATTAACAACTGCTTGGACCAGCTGAAGGAGACCGTGGTTGGCGCGTTTCACTTGGATGTAAGTGCTCGTTTTGATGCTGATTATGTCCCTCTGCTGATGGAGATTGTTTGGCTTTCCAGGGGATGGAGAGGGTCTCTGTATTTTGTGAAAATCCACAATTACCTCACGACCTCCCAGCTCATGAACTCTTTCTTTATTAGCAGTCTAAACTGGAAAAAGCAGACATCCTGGAAATGACAGTGAAACACCTCCAGAACATCCAGAACAGCAAGCTGATGGGTAAGTGCCCCTTCTCTGCAGCCCCTGGGGCACTGGGCTGCACATTCAACCCCCCTGCAGCTCGGCCAAAGCCTCTTGCAAATGCCATGCTGCTGCTCTGGGCTGGCTTTCACCGCTAGATGGGGAGATGGAGCCGAACACATTTTAACCCACGGAAGATTTTCCTTCCAGCGCCTGTTTCTCCTTTTGTTCCGTTGTTGCTTTGCCTGCCCAGCAGGATGCTGGGGGCTGCCCGCTCCCTGCACCCTTCCCCAAGCCCTGCAAACCACGCACGTTCCTGTAAAGCATTAAACCAAGCTCAAATCCCTGCAGGAATCAATCTGCCTTCTCCAGAAGCCGGTATCTGGCTCTTAAATAATAGGTGTTTCTGCATCTCCCAGTGTCTTTAAGGGGCCTCTGTGAGCACAGTGGCAGACTGGCAGGGGAATGCCTGCCAATACCCTGTGATATCACTGCCCCACTGGGAAACTCCACCAAGAAACCCGAGTGCTGTTATTTGCTCCATCCTGGAGCCTAGCACTGCTCCCCTCATGCGGAGCTTCTGTCCCCCCAGAGCAGCAGGGCACTGGCCCGCCACAACCCCACAGTGGTTGTGGTAGGAAGCAATAGGAAGCAACAGCAACCTGCTGAATGTGCTGAAGTGGGATGTGCAGGCTTTGCACCCTTAGCAACTCCAGTTGTCTCCTGTTCAACGCAGCCGACTCCAAAGTGGGCCTCGAAGCTCAGCAGAGGTACAGCACGGGATACATTCAGTGCATGCATGAGGTCCACAACCTTCTCCTCACTTGTGACTGGATGGACAAGACGCTGGGGGCACGCCTGCTAAACCACCTGCTGAAATCCCTACCCAGGTCTGGAGAAGACACCTCCAAAGCAGCATTAAGTTCTTCGAGCCCGTCTCAGCAGCCTCTCCTGACTGCAAAAACCCCACTGAGTCCTAAAGGGAATACTCCCAGCACACATCCATCTCAGGAGCACTTCTACCCAGCGGAACACAAACAGGCTTTGAAAAATTCATTCCAGCCACCCTCACTGTCGGGTTTTGGCCAGGTCGATGCTGTGCCTCCCAGACAGGTCCTGCAGCCCAATTTTTCCCATAATAACCCTAGTATGGGGTCATTAGATATGTGGAGACCATGGTAAAATGTGTTTTCAAATGTTTATCCTAACCTTAGACACTCTTATGTATGTATCTTATAGATATGTTTCTTTACAACACTTGTGGAGCAGGTCTGCTCCCGTAGGTGTACTAAAGACCAGGGTACTTCAAGCCGAAGTAAACCTATGTGTAGCCTGCATTATAGAAGGCTGCTATTATTTTGTATTTATTTAATACATCTAAATTATTGTATAGAATCCTCTCATGCTCTTTAGCGTATATTAATTATATAGCTTTCTTGTCTTACAATCCTAAAATAATTAATGTTCTATCAATGAATATCAGACGATGACAACAACCCTCTCTTGCACCAAGCTCACCTCTGGGATCTCATGCAGAACAAAGCAGCAAACAGCCAATCTCCTTATTTTTGTTATTGTTACAGCTATTCCTGTGCAACCATGGGAGATTTCAGTTCTGATTCCTGTAGGAATGCTGCAGTGCTGAAAACACAAAGGGAAAGACTTGGTTTAGACATTATAAACTGTTTAGAAATATTCTCTGTATTGCTCAGTGTCCACACATTGTTCCTGAACATACTGACACAACTGTTCAACAAGTGAGCTATGCATATGCCACCTGTAGTTACATTTAGAGATTGGTTTTGTTTATTTGCTAAATAAACTCTTGGAAGATAGTGACTGTGTTTCTCCCTTCCTTCTGCCTGCTCTGAACACGGTTGGTGCTTTGGATAAAAGCAGTGTGTACACACACGCACAGAATCACCTGGATTACAGTAATGTCTGTGAGTGACAAAAGAAGTCAGGAGCTGGGCTTGTCAACCTGCAGCAGTACTTTGGGGTTGACTTACAAGAGCACTGCAGACAGCTCTGACAAGCAGAAGGCACAACTCTGCCGACTGTACCCATCAGACTGGGACAAACCCGCACAGCTCATGACATTTGGTCTCAGTTTTTCAACTCAAAGGCAGTTGAAAGCCTTTGAAGAAAGAAACAAACACTTTGAAGAAACAAACAAGCAAGAAAACAAACACTGCTCATACCAATTAACAGCCGCCCAGTTCAGAGGGGCTAATTATGCAGAGCCATCTATTTGATGATGCGCTGAAAGAGTGAAAACCATCACCTCTGGATTTAGCATTCTGTTCTGCTTGGCAGAAAAAGGCAGCAAAGCCACAGAGCACTCACAGCTTGTGATAACAATCAGCCAAAGGGATCTGGGAAGAGAAAAGACACAGAAGACAGGTGGCAGAGATGACCACACACACCGCTGAGGTCAGAGAAAGCTGCATGTGACCTGAGCACCCACTGCTGCACTGCTACAGGAACCTCCTCTGCCCAGAGCTGGGCCACAAGGGCAGGTAAAGCAGAGAACCCAGCCCGGAATAGGGCCTGAAACTCACTGTTTTCTTCTCGATCATTTTGGTAATGCACCTCATCAACCTGTGGTAACCTCAGCGCTGTGCTGGGAGAGGGGCTAGGAAACACTGCTGTGCTGCCAATGTTCTCCTGTTTTGACAGCATGAACATAAAAACATACTTTCCCCTAATGCTGTAAAGCCTCACTGGCTATAATTATCAGCTTTGGTTACTGCACCGAAAAGAGATCAGTGAGAAATACGTATTTCTCCCCATCTCTGGCTGTTTACTCTGTGCATTTGGACATACTTTGTGGTCAGTGGGTTTTATTATTTCCTGTTTCTAATTGGTGCTTTTTTTTTTTTTTTAGTTTTATTTTGTGGGTGCAGAGGGAATTGGTCACACAGCAGCTGGAGAGAGCTTTAAAAATAGAAAAGTGAGATTGCAGTGCTCAACCAACAGCCTCCAGTACACGATGCTCATTTCTCAGCGCCTTCTTTTCCATCCAAGGGACTCTTTTAAGTGATCCCATGCCACGTTCCTAAGTACAAACCTACTTTGGTCAGACAGAATCCTTTGCACACCAACAGTTTTCAGTAAAGAAGGTGATTATCCCTAACCCTTCACACACATGAAGTCAGCTGCTACTTGTGTTTGACAGACGAACTTGGTTACTGAGTTCAGATTCATTGGGCTTTATCAGAACCAGAACAGTACAAGAGCAGTGCTACTTCACTCTTTGGTACGGGCACCTCCTCCCCAACAACCAAAAAGCACTGTCAGCTGTACCATCTCCTCTCCAGGAAATATGTCTCCAAACATCTGCTCTGGGCTCTGGCAGTGGTGCCTCCTGGCTGCTGCTGTGCCCCATTGCAAGCAGGGCTGCAGCACAGCTCCCACCGGGGGCTGCATGCACAAGGAATGAGGGGTTTGAAGGCACAGAGGTGCCACACATTCAGATCTCAGCCCTCAACCCAATACACACAGTGGAAGCAGTCAAGACAATGCACCCAGGCCAGATTGCTCAGCTGTGTCAAACCTCACACAGAGCATGGAGCACACATGGGGCTGGGACAGCCTGCTGCTTGTCTAGGCTTTGTGCCCTGCCAAAGTGCTGCTCCAAATATGTATTTGTGAGCTGAGAGTTAAGAGGCCAGTCCTGATGTACATGGGGATTGGATTCTGCTCCCAGGTAACAGCCATAGGGCGAGAGGTGATGGCCTCAAGCTGTGCCAGGGTAGGGTCAGGTTGGATATTAGGAAAGAATTCTTCTCAGAAAGAGCAGTGAGGCACTGCACAGCTGCACAGGGAGGTGGTTGTGTCACCATCCCTGGAGGTGTTCAGAGCTGTGGAGATGTGGCACTGAGGGATGTGGGCAGTGGGCATGGTGGGGTGGGCTGAGGTTAGACTTGGGGATCTGAGGGGTCTTTTGCAACCTTAATGATTCTGTGATCCTATGATTCCTATGTCCTATGAGGACAGCTGGACCTGAGGCTCAGGACTCCCATGCAGCTTCAACACAAAGCAGTTAAAGATTTATGCAGTAATACCACGAGCACAAGTAGACAAAACACTCCTGTACACAGCAGCTCTGGTCATACAAACTGCATTCCCAGAGCAGCTCTCACTGAAACTAATAGGAGAACTCCCACTTCTTTCTCAGGAAACGGGACTGAAACCTTTCCCAATAGGCTGACGGGTACATAACAGACTCACGACTGCACAGCACACAACCCAGGCTCTGCAGGGCATCTCTGCACCTTCCCTTACTTCTCCCCTTGCTCCATGCAGTCCCACAATCACTCCCAGCAATCAGGCCAAGCTGTTCCAGGGGCTGAGGATTGGTACTGAGCCCCCACAGACTGTTACCCATGGGAGTCGAGCACTTTGCTTAAAAAAAGAAGCACAAGCCACATTTTCAGAGTGCTCACTCTGTGAGGATGAGGCTACAGACCGCTGCGTGACCTCTGCGGGACCTGCAGAAGGGCTCCTAATCCTCTGCACTTAAAAGCAGGTGACCCTGCAAAACCCTGTGCAAAAGGAGCAGAACACTGCTAAATTGCTTTTAAGTACACAGCAATGATTGTGAGTGCCAGCAGCTAGATAGCACCATAGTCCTGGGGGAAAGCAGGACACCAAAGACTTCAGCTTCCCTTTATATGTGTCATTATCTCACAGCTTCCCGTGTATACGTTCCTAACAGAGCCTTACTCATATTTCATCTCACCAGAAGTCACGTTGTGCTGTGAGAACCTAACCTGAAGTCTGTCACATTTGTCAGAGTTTTCACACACTCATGAATAAAGTAGCAGAACTGAAACCAGCTCTGGATCTGTGCTGCAGAGACGAGTTGTTTGTACATCTCAGCCCTCTAAGAATGCAGTTTGCTGCCCCGGGCACTAATTGCAGACGTTCCAGAGTCTGGGAACTCCGTCTGCTTCTGGGACTGCTTTGGTCCTTGCATTGGGTGTCACCAATCTTTCTGTGCATTTGGAGTTAAGGAGCTTGTTAGAACATTTCCATCACGTTTTCTTTGGCTAACACAACCAATCAAATGGATTTTTTACAGCTCTCCTCAGCCCGCTGCCTCCTGTCAGCAGATGGGCTCTGCCCAGCACCCTAATGGGATTACGTGGGGTCCTGGTCAGGCTCTGAGGAGCCATCTGTCACTGCCCAGCACACTGACCCCACTGAGGCAGCACCCCCAGCTCCCCCTCAGCCCAGAGCTCGATGTTTCCTCCCCTGCACACCAGGAGTGATGCACTCCCTTAGGAAAGCTGTATTTTCTACCTTCTGGGAACTGAGAAGGAAGAGATAAGCATTCCACAGAACAGCAGTTTAGCAGGACAGAGAAGGGAGCAGGCAGAGCCATGGCTGAGCTCCTTGTGCCAGAGGAGCTCCCACTGCAGGGCAGAGCCAGCCTCCACACTGGAGCTCCCCTGGGTCCATCCAGGCTGTGGGAACAGCTACTCGGGAGCAACCACAGAACCCCAAGCTTCCCTACCTCTGCCCTACTAACACCTAGCCTATGTGAGTGCAAAGTACAAAGCTCCAAGATCTGCACTCTTCCCACCACAGAGGCTGTGAGAACAAGCAATCCGCATGGGATAGCGAACGCATCACCTCGTGCGCTCCTGAGAAATGCTGAGATATCACTTTGATAGGTGTGAGAAGGGAACCACCCGGTCACTGACCACAACCAAAGCAATACCCACACAGACAGGTTCTCCCAGCCAGACACCCTGCGGTCAGTGTTCCCTGGGGAAAAGCAGCGCCGTGCCTCCCGGTGCTCCCTGCTGCTCAGCACTGCACACAGGAACGTACGCTGACTGGGGGACCACTGCAGCAAGCTGAACCTCTGCTCTCCTCGGCCATAACATCTGAGGGAATCTGATGAATCTGGGGCAGAAAAGAAGAGCAAGCTTTCCAATACAGACCCAGATCTTGAGAGGAAAGCTCTGAGCCCCCCAGCTCAGCTTATCTCCTCCATAGAGCTGGGCTGGCTGTCAGTAGCTCCGAGCTGACGCAGTTACAGAGGAGCAGCACGGGGTAGTAGTGAAGGGACTGCATGGGCCATGGGACATCAGCCTTGTTCTAAGCCCGGCTCTCACTTCCATCGCTCCACACCTGAATATTTCTCATCTCCTTCTTGGGAGAGATGACTGCACTCACCTTTGAGATCTCTAGATGAAAAGCATTAACAACATGCCAAGGGCTGCACAGATGAAAGAGGTGAGGCAAGACTTCAGAAGCACCTCTCCAACCCCCTATCGCATGAATCACATCTCCTCTGTCATTCTAACTCCAGCACTCACCTCTTCAAAGTCCGTCTGCACAAACATACTGCTCTTACTGCTAGAGCCTTCCTCCAGTGCTGGCAGTGCAATTGTGTGTGATGGAGGAGATCAGGTGGCTGAATAAGCAGCTCTTGAGGCCGTTACATCTACTGTGCATGCTTTTTAAGGGCCTCCAGCCAGACTGAGCCAAACCTGTGGCTGTGTGCATGGCTCACAGCTCCCCAGAGGACCTTCTGCTGCCACCCGGTTCTCCATTGTGGTGAGAGTACACCTGGTGCAAGCTCAGATCAGAACATCTGATTTAGTTTTGACCAAAATAAGCCCCGTCTGCATGCATGGAAACTATGCAGCATGCAGAGAGAGCAGACAATTAGAAAATTTGCTTCAAAACCACACAGCAGCTCCAAAGAAAAACACCAGTATAGCTGGAGCCTACGTGCTCACAATCCCCATTGGTTTTCTAGGGAAACATGGCTACTCTAAGACTAGGTCTAAAGCATTTCTGTAAACTTTTGGTTTTACAGCTTCAATCGCAGCCCCTCAGGGAGGAATTCACACACCTTTCACCTTTCATCCAGTTGTCTGTGTCTATATCCAGTTCCTGGCACACAGATCAGAGAGGCCTCACCCAGCATGCAGGCAGGCATTCCCTTCCCTAAACAAGGGCCAGGCGTTGCTCCAGCTGCCTGACACCTCCATCCAGAAAGTCAGCCCACGCTACTACTGGGTATCAGAGCAAGCTTAAGAGGGAAGGATCTGCCTGCCAAGGGCTCACTGCTCCACCTAAACTGCCACTGGGACAGCAGTGAATGTTTTATAAGAGCTGGAAAACCTTTTGTGGCTGCTATCCTGATGGGAGCAGGCTTATGCTCACGTGCCTCAGTGCCATCCCCAGCCAGACATCCTATGTCCTAAAGCTGTGATGTGAGCTGTCAGTGCTGATACCCACGTTCCAGCTGTGCTTTCCCAGCTTTGACAGTCCTCATTTCAGCCCCATCTCCACTGCACAGAAAGGCAAAGGGCTGAGCAGGAGAGGGTTCTGGCTGCCTGCTTTGCTCAGAGCCCAAGAACATCCGTGGCTGCATTGAAACCCCAGGAGCTCACGTTGCTGAGCAGCGTAGGGCTGACCTGGTGGTGGTCACCATGCCAGGGCTCTGCGCTCTGCTAATACGCATGGCTGCCATCACTAAAATTCCTTCCAGTACATGTGAAATGCCCCTTTCCATAAATATATCACTGCAACACACATTCATTTTAAGGGACATTTCAGTAACTCAACAACTAACAGTTTCCACGTACGTCCACGTGTGTGTTGCTGGGTGTGTATATATACGTGTGAGTGGAGGGGACTGCCATTTTCAGGTAAAAGAAGGCTAAAAATGCAAAGTATTTCTCCATTCCCCTGCTTCTCTAACACCCTCAGAACCATCAGTCCCTATTTAGCACCCTTCTCAAACACCTAAAAAAAAGATCCTTCCAACAGCAGTTGTTTTGCATCAGCCATTCCCAGCGACAAAGTGCAGTGTGCACACGTTATATAAAGGAGACACTGCATTCCTCCTGGGAGAGATAACAGCCACGGGGGAGGAATGCTTTCCCCAGCATGTCTGCGCACGACCTGAACCCAAACACAACCAGCATGCCACTGGCAGCTCCCCAGCAGATGACTCCCAAAGAGTTTGAATGCAAGGCAAAGCGGTATAAAGGATCAACCCAAATGTTCCTGTGCAGACAGACAGTACAGATGTGGAGAGAGGTCACTGCACAGCACAGGCTGGGGGTGCACCACTTGTTTTAGGATGTGGGTTCTACAAAAAGCTCAAACTTGGGCTTTGGGTGCTGAAAGCTCTGTTTCTGGGGCTGTCTCTGAATTTGCTTAGGAAGCAAAAACACCCTCAGTCAATGGATCGTGGAGACAGCAGTGACTGAACAGGAGATACAGTGCACTGGTTGCCAATCAATTGATATGCATCCAGCAACTCTTACCTGCACTTACCAGTTTTGCTGGGGCGTCCCTAATGTTGAAACTCCCCACTACAGCAAAATTGAAGACTGGAATCTATAAATCAGACAAGCAAAATCAGCCTCATTTAGCCAGCACTTTCATGCTGGTATAACTGGAAGGGATTGTGCAGTGAAATCGTGTCATTACAATAAAACAAATAAACAAACCTTTACCACCATTCTGTGCCAACCAAACTTTAAAGCGTGAATTTGCAAACCAGAGACAGAAGATTATTGCCTGTGAAAAGCTCCTGTCTCTGGGGTGAAACAGAAGACCAGCTTGATGCAGGTGCTTTGGCTGAGGTTAGCAAGCAAAAGTACTGTAAGCAGATGGCAATGGGGGAAGATTACAGAGAAATAGAGGAGAGCTCTTCGTGTGATGTTTTGGCTGCTGTTACTCCAGGACTTGTGTATTTGGTCTCTCTGAGT